ACCTTAAACTTACACGATATGTCTGTTATATCTCAATTAAGCTAGAACCGTAACTACCACATACCCACTAGGATTGCTGAAATTCAGGACTGTCAGTACCTAGGGTTGGAGAGGAAATGGAGCAACTGGAACCTTCCCATTTTGCTGGGGTGGGGATGGGGGTTGTAAACCAGTATGACTACTTTGGAACACTGGAACTATCTACTAAAATTCAACAGCAGTCTCACTCCTGGGCATTTGTCCAATGAAAATGTATGCATCATATAGACACCAAGAGACATGCACAAGAGTGATTTAAAAAATCTCAAATATCCATCAACATGTGAATGGATAAACAACCTGTGGTATATTCTCACGAGGAAATGCTACACAGTGATGAAAATGAGCAAATTAGAACTATATGAAATAACGTGGCTGTTCTCGTAAACATAATGTTGAAAGAAACACAAAAAGGAATACACAGGGTTTGATTTCACTTACATTAAGTTCAGAACGAGCAAAAGTGTGCCTCCGAAAAGGAAGGAAGAGGTAGCGACTGCGAGAGGACACGTGGGGTTTTTTGGGGAGTCCTATTAATGACCTATATCTTGATGTTGGGGATGGTTACACAGGTGAACTCACTTTGTGATAATTCGTCAAGCTATACACTTAAGATCTGTGCATTTTTGTGCACGTAGGGCATACTTCAATAAGCAAGTGAAAATATTTGCCCAGATGTGAATAGCAGTAGAGCGTGTGCTACATGTCAATAAAATATTCCAAGGGTCTGCCAATCCAGTGCTCTCAGTTTTACTTAAATTACACCAAGTGCCCATTAAAGTTAAGCACTTGGGGCACTTAGGTGCTGCTGCTTTATAGAAGTTCAATGAATTAGAAGATACAGACAATGAATTGGATGGGTACTTTTTATGGTACATCAGGAAAGCAACAAATAGTGGTCCCACATTGCCTGGCTGGGAGCTGTAAAGGAACTGAGGAAATACTTTTCCGCTGAAAGCACAGGTTCAAAAACTGGCTAGACACACTGTCAAACCGCAGCATCAGCTGAATTCTTACCTATGCTGGTCATCCATGGGCACAATTTAGGTCCTGCTTGGCAAAGACTGGGATCCTGGCAAGTGGAATGGCGGTAGGTGGAAGAGTCCAAGGACCCAAGGATGCCTGATGGATATAGCCTATTTGAAGC